TTGCGATAAAAATGGGGGCCGAAATGGGTGTATGGATCAAAGGGTGGCCGAACTTGTTGCTCAAAATCACGGGGATACGGTTGGGCACAGAGTAATAGGATAAGGAAGGTTAATAAAATAAGAAGGATGGCAATAAGTAATACGTCTACTAAAATTTTTAGTGGATTTTAACTATTTAATATGATAAGGTTTTGATAGGGAGCAGAAATTGGACTGAAATGCGAAATTTAGGGCTATACGGTAAATGAACTGCAATAATGAAACTGACTTACTTGACACTGCTGCTGTGCGACTGCCGTAGCGTGGTCTTCAGCGGGCGGGTGGTTCGGAATATAGTGAGTCGCTCGACTCGGAATTATGGCGTTCAAAATTGGAAATAGATAGGTTTCTTGATAAGTAAGGGGGGATTTACGTTCAGTGGATTTTTAAACAAATTTTTTTGGGGTTTTTTAGGAAAGGGGCTTGCACCAGTTGGAAATTTGAGGTGGTAGAATGTAGCCCGGGTTAGAATAGCCGACGCACCAAAATGTGATGCCCACGTAGCTTACAGTCGGTGTTCTTTGTTGATTTCTGGGCGTCACTGGGGTATATCTTTATTGCCAGAGAAGTATAGGATACAATTACTGCAATGCACTATATTTGCCGGAGTGGGGAACTATCCAGTAATGGAAATCTGTGATAAATTGTTATTCTTCTGAATCTTCACAGATCGCGCTATCGTCTCAGCCTAGTCTGGGCTGACACAGCGGGGTGAGCACGATCGGTGTGAGTTTGTTCAGAGAGCTAGTGGGGGCCGGCAGGCTTTTTATAGTCGCCTCTGCGGGCTCCGCCCAGAGCCTATTTCGAAACCCTGTGGGCTTTTCGAAATAGCCCCCGCGGCTCCTACGCATTCCATTTCTGAATGGTCGGAACAGTTCCGACAGTGACCATACGTTCGTGGCTGTGGGGTCCATGGCCATGAGTGCGCGGTTGTCGGTCCCTACCAGGGTTGATCATGATGATCGAAAGTCCGTCCGCGTCCGTCCGCGTCCGGACGGGTCCGGACCATGTATGCAAAGTGCAGATAACCACGTTAATTCAATCGTCTGCGGCTTAGGATGGCGCATCACCACAGACCTAATTTGAATATTTCGTGTCGACTTGGATTATGACAAAAAATAATCGTCAGTTGTCCAAATAGTCACACAAAAGCAAGTCGGAAACGAAGAAACTAGTACTGAACCTCAAGAACAATGGAACATTGCACTAAAATCTCAAAGCTTTTCGTTTGCTCAAACTTTTTACCGCTTTCCCTTGGACAGTGACAGTAATTTTTGTGTTTTATTCTAAGTCAACATCAAGGATGCAAGTCAGATTATGATCCTACGCTTTCCTAAATCAGGGACACCTGAATTAGCATCCGCTTTTGTGCTTTGCATCGCGGACCTTCCGGCGTCCGGCGGACTCTGTAACGTCCGTTGCGTCCGCGTCCGGACGCGTCCGTCCGCGTCCGGACCCGTCCGTCCGCGTCCGTAATTTGCATAGCGGACGCGGACCCCCGATCATTGTGACCAACCCTGGTCCCTACACCGGCGCGGTCATTAGTGCATAATCAGCGCGGGCAGATGTCTTATCAGTGCCCTCCCGAGCGCTGGGGGAGCGGCTTGAAACGTTTGCCCCCGGGGTAAAGAGAGACGCAGAGAAAGTTTGGCGTTGAGGCCTGCGCCCCTTTTTAGGGCCACAAATTGCCTTCTAAAACTTTCAAAGTTTATGGAGGATTGGCTCGCCTGTTTTTTCCTTTTAGAGGTTGTCAGGTTCAGTTAATTTTGCTCTTATTAGTTTGAAACTTACAAGCCCAGTTCTCGTGAAGTTTTATTTGACAGCAGCGATAGCGTTGAGTAACGCGGCCAAATCCACGAAGCAATAATAATCAGCTGCTTGCTACCTTGCTCTTGCTTTAGATCTAGGCTGTGGATCTCGATCAAGCTTTACAAGGAGTCGTTTTTAGGTGATATTGGAGTTTTTGAGCAAGACCTAGCGAGTTCGATAGAGAAAAAAATTCTGAGCAAGATGTCGTTTTCCAAATCTGCTAACCGTGTATTCTATTCAATAAAAACTAATTTCAAAATCATTAATTTCGTCATCATTTCTCACCTGATCCGCAGCCGTGGCACTGGGGGTGTGCGTGAACATAACCCCCTGCAGACCCTTAGCCACCATCAGGCCCGTAGCGGAACCGAAATTTCGGGGGCCAAAAATTTTGGCGACCTCCCCCGGTCGCCACTTTTAAAACATCCGAAAATCACGTCAATAATAGCGCCGCAGGCAAAAAATCGCAAAAAAAGCGTTCGCTACACTCAAATTCGTGTGAAAACACGGCAGAAAACGAGCCGCAGGCAAAAATTTTTATGAACAATTGATTCACCAATGAAAATCCAGCGCCGCAGGCAAAAAATTTTGAAAAAATAGGCTTCATATAAGTCAAAACTGTTTGAAAAACAGTAATAAACAGCGCCGCAGGCAGAAAAATTTTTGTAACTAAAAATCATAAGGGTCCCCCCTTATGAATTTTTCGGACCTCGACCGATTTCGGGGGGGGCCCAGGGCCCCCTGGGCCCCCCCCCTCCTACGGGCCTGGCCACCATGATCGCGTGGCATATTGGTAGTGCACTTGCTTCATAAGTTTTATCTTTTTTTTGCCTTCGGGTTCGACTCCTAGCTAGTGAAAATCTTTTGCTTTTTGCTCTGTGATGCCAAATATGACCTCAATAGCGTTTAAACCCAAAAAGCAAAACAGCTAATCAAAAAAAGTTCCGAACTCCGAGCATAAATTTGCAAAAGTTTGATAGGCGCCTGCACTATCCACTGGGCCACCATCTCATGCGGATACTGGATCTCCTTGCGGCCTATGCCCCGGGCCTGATCCATGTGCGGCAGCGTGACGCCGCGGAATTTCTTCATTAAAAATAATTTTTATTGAATACAGTACACGGTTAGCAGATTTGGAAAACGACATCTTGCTCAGAATTTTTTTCTCTATCGAACTACCTAGGTCTCGTTCCAAAACTCCAATATCACCTAAAAACGACTTCTCGTTGGATGATTTCCGCCAAGTCAGGTCGTCATTCATCGAGAATACTACTTGTAGAAAAGTCGGCCGCACCCGGGAAGCGCCACGTTGAAGCTAGGCACGAACCAAACCTGAAAACGTATTCTTACTGTAAGACGTTGTTGCTCAACTTAAACTGATTCGGGACCAAGTGTATCTTGTAAACACAAAAACTACGTTTTGTAACTTGTTTTGAAATTGAAAACGCGTATCTAGCCCTTCTTCACAGTGAAAATGAAGCGATATGAGAATCGAACAAAAAAAAATTGGATTCTGAAGAACAACTTTAACATTATGGCTGAATTACTTTTCAAATATACGTCCGCAACAAATTTGGCAAATAGCATTCGGATCAGCGAAAAATTCTGCACAAGATGCACTTGGTCCCGAAATTGTACCGAAATTTTGTAATAATGGGCTGGATAATTTTATTTCCAGCCTTCAATTACTATAGCGACGAAATGTCGTGTGCCGAATTCGGTAGGCGCCGAAATCGGTAGGCGCCGAGTTCGGTAGGCGTCGAGTTCGGTAGGCGCCGAGTTCGGTAGGTGCCGAAATCGGTAGGCGCCGTTTTGCTGGCGCCGTTCTGTCAGACCCCCGAGACAGGGCAGGGGCTTTCCGCGGGAGGGGAATTTTGGCAGGAAATCGCCCCGCGCAGAGCAAATTATGTCAATTTCTGCCGATTCCCCCTTTGTACCCCACCCCATCCCCTTTTGTACCCCCTTGGGGGGTGTACCCCTGGGGGTATGCAAGAGTATAGATCCGATGATTGATTTATCATTTTCTTTCCCAGGTTCTTATTTTACTTGTTTTGTATTTATTTTTTCGGCGCTTCGCGCCTCCTTCCCTCACCTCCCTCACCTTCCCGGCAGTCCCCGCACCCGCCCGCCAAAATTCCCGGCAGTCCTCCATTCGCAGGTCTGCATACCTTGCCCACCTTTTTAAATCCGCCAAAGGACTCAAAAGATCCACGTGCAGGGGGTACTTCAACAAAACAGCATAGCAAAACTACGCCCGCTAACGCCGAATCCGATTCCCCACATGCCCCGAAAATGCTACAAAACCAACGAAATTATTTAGAGCGCCACGGTGATGCTACAGCACGAAAACAAACATTGGCCTGCACAAATAAAGAGGCTTGAGCAGAGCGGAGTCCATTGGAAAGTTAAGCAGGTTCTATACGACGGTCTGAGGCAGCCCAACGAGCCGGTCGTTTTCGATTGCACGAGTAAGTCAGCTTGTAAGAGTAAGGGTATGGCGCAATTCCATCCCTTAAAGCGCACGTTCAAGGTAGGGCTGTATACTCTGTCCAACGTATACACCCTACACACACACACACACACACACACACACACACACACACACACACACACACACACACACACACACACACACACACACACACACACACACACACACACACACACACACACACACACACACACACACACACACACACACACACACACACACACACACACACACACACACACACACACACACACACACACACACACACACACACACACACACACACACACACACACACACACACACACACACACACACACACACACACACACACACACACACACACACACACACACACACACACACACACACACACACACACACACACACACACACACACACACACACACACACACACACACACACACACACACACACACACACACACACACACACACACACACACACACACACACAGTCCTGTAAATCCCGTTAAATTGCAGAACCGGCCCAGCATGCGAAGCATATTCCAATACATTACTTCAATGCGCCGCCAGAAAGATCCTTTTGGGCGGAAGTGTGGGATGGGCCCACCGATAACGAGGAAAGGGCGGCATCGCAGCTTATACCAAGCTTTCACTACTACAGAAGACTGTATATTATGGCGGAATGCCAATTGGGTAAAGATATAAAGGTGGGTGGCCTTTTCTGATTTTTTAATACAAGGTGGTCCAATAAAAGAAGGGCTTCGGACCTTAATACAGTGCGTGCGAAATGATAGGGGAATGGCGTTTTCGGCCGTTTTGCTCGGCCGTTCTCCATTACCTTGTAAAGCAAGATCATATAGGGTGGTGCAAAAAAATTTGAAGTTGTATTTGTAGAATTGATATACACCATAAATACAAAAACCACCCCTTCTGCCCCTTTAAACAAACGACCCCCCACCTCCTGTCGATGCCAATTCTTTGCTAACAAAGACCGCTTTACTGAAACTTAAATTTAATAGAGAAAACGGGTAATTTTTAAAAATCGCATAGGTGTGCAGCCATCGCAAGGTCATTTCGCACCTAATGACAGATCGTACTTACCCCTAACTCCTTCCCTTATGGAGATACTACTGGAACAACGATACGAAAGTGGATGCAAAGTAGCACAGAATATCTTTCGCGATTCCCGGAATGTATTCCTTATAGAAAGGCTTCATCCTGATAAACAACGTGCTGGCAAGTGTGGCACGTCCCGATCAGCACGTATACGATGCTGGTCTGTTTTATTGGCAGAGCGAGCAGTAAGTTTCAATCTTCAAATCGTTGCCCCGGTATCGGTTTGGAAAGGGCGGACCGTTGCGCGGGGGAAAGGGCGAACCTGAAGACATGTCGGCTTCCTGGCCCGCGCAATCCTGGAAAGGGCCGACCGTGGCGCGGCTCTCCGGATTGAGCGGGACTGAGAGCGGTTCTCGCCTCAAGCGGGCCGTATTAAAGACCGTTGGAAAGATGGCCGGGCGTCCCCAGGGGTGAGGGACCGACGGGGCGATACCATGCACGCTTTCCATCGCGTAAGGGGCCCCAAAACCCCCAACTGGATTTGCAGAAAACTGGTTTATATCCATAACTTTTTTGATTGACTATATTTTTGGCTGGAAACTTCCATAAAAATAGTTTATAGCCATCCCCTTCAATGGTAAACTTTGAGGCTGATTGGAACGATGGCTGCCATGTTCTGAGCGAAAAGAGGTTTTTGGGGCGTTCTTTACTTGAAAAATCGTCGGAAAGAGCATAAAACACTTCAGGGAATTCAGGGAAGACGCTCCTTGCCCTTGGCAAGCTTTTCTGTAGGATTTTTCGTAAATATTATTTATAAATAGCTTTATTTTAAATTGTCGCCCAGTGACGTGCACGAGATGGACCCTAGGGTACTTGGGGCCCCTCCGCCGCCCTCCCCGACTCGACCCCTTTGGTGTGGGGGTAACGCGTTGGACTGCGGGGCGGACCATCTCTGGTTCGACCCCCGGCCGGTGCACAACATCTTGCTTTTTCACCAATGCCATCTTTCCAGAGGCCTTTAAAGGGCTGGAGAAAGATGGAATTGCTGAAAGGGCAAAGAGGGCCGCACCGGACGGGGGTCGAACCAGGGATGGTCCGCCCCGCAGTCCGATGCGCTAGCCAGTACACCAAAGAGTCGAGTGGAGAGGGACGGCGGAGGCCCCTCACATACCCTAGGGCGGTTCGCCACCTCTACAAGAACTGCCATTAGAAATAAAGCAATTTAATGGCGATAATAGCTAAAAAATGTTGTAAAAAACCTAGCTAAAGTATAGCAACGTAATTTGCAACTTTCTAGAGATGTTTTGCTGTCTATGCGCCTTTTTTTCAGCCAAAACAGTGTCTCAAAACCCCGTATGGCTTCGAACATGACCGCCTTTTATCCAATCCGGCTCAAATTTTTACCATCAATGCGTATCACTAAGTCCTCGATCTACGGAAATTTTCAGTTGAAAACATTGGTAAATGAAAAAGTTATAGCCAATAAACTAGTTTCTTCAAGCGAGGGATGGGGTTTTGGGGGCGCTTACGCGAGGGAAAGTGTCGATGGTAGCGCCGCGGCGGTCCGTCACCCCGACGGACGCCGGCCCCTCTTCCCCCAGCCCTTTAAAGGGTAATTACGAGGGTAAAAGACCAGAGCCCACAACACCTTCCCCATTAAAAGAAAAGGTTTTTGTGTGCACTTTACAACAAACAACAACGGGTCAAACAAAAAATGAATTTTGTGACACCAAAACAATATGAACGAGAAAGAAAAGATAATTTAGCTTATTCCTTCTTGTTCACGTAGGAGACCATCTGCAGCGTGCCCGACGGGAACGCGTCGGCATTGCCCGTGACGCCACATCCTGCTTGTGAACGCTTGACGACGCCATTTGCCCTCGTGGACGACGTCCCGCTTTGCGGAGCTTCCTTGGCCTTGTCGCTCGTGTCACGCGTATCCGGGGCTTGTTTACGGAGCTGATTTGCGTGACGTGTCCATGTTAAGCCATCATCCAGCTTGACCTTGTACATTGTGCGCGCCGTCCTTGCATCAATAGTCCCTCGGATCCACGTCGTCTTGGCACAGCGATAGTCCTTGACGTACACCAGATTCTTGACGTAAAACATTCGATCTTTCGCGTTTGCGCGTTTGCGCCTCTGGCTTTAGATCCGTGCGTTTTCGTCCTTTTTCCAACTTCTCCATTGAAGTGGCTCGCGGTTGAAAGAGCGTCAATGGAACACGCAGCTTGCGACCCTGAAAAAGTTCAGCAGGAGACCTTCCATTTGGCATGACAGCGCCTCGGGTCGAGCGGTGAGCTTGTAAAAAGCTTTCCAGAGCTTTTACCATATACGTTCCTTCAGCTTGAGCCTTCAGCACCGCACGTTTGCACACATCGACGTACCGTTCAGCTTGTCCATTGCTTTGTGGGTGGTACGGCGGTGAGAACATGTGACGAAATCCACTTTGCGTACACTATTCATCGAAGAATTTGTTCGCGAATTGCCGACCATTATCCGAGACGATCACTTCGGGCAATCCGTATCGAGCAAAGCGTCCATGACCTCGACCGTCTTTTTGCGCATCTGCCGTCTTCATTGGCACGGCCTCGACCGATTTCGAATACGCGTCGACGGCAATCAACAGCATCTGTCCTTCGATAGGCCCCTAAGTCGAGGAGAATCCTTGACCATGGCGCGTGCGATAGCGGCCATGAGTGCAGAGTATTCTTGAGCGGTGATTTCGTATTCGAGCTTGAAATCGTAGTTGAGCAGAGTACACGGTGTCCTATAAAAAAGCACCCCCTCTTGCACTTTCGCCATACTACGTCCGATCAGTCCGAAAATTGGACCGAGGGTGTATTGATTTCCATTCATTTCGCATAATTTTCATTTCGCATACCGCCATTTCGCATAATTGCATTTCGCATAATTTTTATTCCGCATAACGGTGATTTCGCATAACGCTTATTTCGTATAACGCTTATTTCGCATAACGGTGATTTCGCCTAACCGTCATTTCGCATAACGATCATTTCGCATAATTTTCATTTCAGCTAACGACCATTTCGCATAATTTTGATTTCGCCTAACCGCCATTTCGCATAATTTTCGCCATTGGCAGCCGATGGTCAATATAACTCTAGCTTAGCAATCAGCAACCGATGAAAAACAATCTACCGGCGCGGTTTTTTGCGCCCTTCCGTGCAGATATCCCAAGTTTGCTCAATCCCTTGACCCAAGTGGTAGACGTCTGTTTCGAGGGGCTTTGCCAAAAATCCTACGTTGTAGATAGTATCCCTGTGTAAAGCAGCAAATCTGACCGCAAGACTAGGTCAAAAGCATTACATTGATTCCAGATGCGGAATCCGCGTAAATGGTAACTAGTCATTTCGATTGTCTTATACCGTGACTGCACTTCATATCATCAAAAACGCCTTGTTTTGCTCTTGGTTGCCACTAACTAAAAAATATGCGAAATAAACGTTATGCGAGATAATCTCTAGGTGAAATGAAAATTATGTCAAATGATCGTTATGCGAAATCACGGTTCGGCGAAATGACCGTTATGCGAAATCGCCGTTAGGCGAAATAAGCGTTATGCCAAATCATCGTTATGCGAAATCACCGTTATACGGAATAAAAATTATGCGAAATGCAATTATGCGAAATAGCGTTATGCGAAATGATAATTATGCAAGATGAAGAAATACCGGTGTATTAGACCCTAAATAACCACAATCCTGATTTTTAGCCCAGTAGCTATAATAGTTCTCAAGTTATAACAAAAATAAACTTTATTTTCAATTTTTCATTGGGTTCCCGTGGAATTAGACCCCCTAAACATTCAGTGAAAAAGATTCGACAAGCCTTCTTTACCTTAAGAAATTTTTTCCAGACTAAAATTGATCAAAAAAAAACTGCGGCGATCGGTTTATAACTCAGGATTGTGGTTATTTATGGTCCGATACACCCTGGTGCAAAGCATGGAACCGATCGGATGTTTTACGGCGAAATGCCAGAGGGGTGCTTTTTTTGGGACACCCTGTAGTCGCCCATCTTTGAAGACGATTTGCTGAGTAGGTTGGTGTTGTGTCCTTGAAGTGTGGTGAAGAACTTGATGGATCGCAGTTGACGTATCGAATAAACAATAAGTGCTTATTCGACAAGCAGCAGACAAGGATAAAAATAGGAGTGATCAAAATGGGCGATTTCCCAGGGAGAGCAGGGGCCTTTACGACACGAAATGGGGGGCGCCGTGGCGGGACCACAGGCTACGATCACAAGGGCACGCAATAGGAGGTAGGCTACTAGAGTCTAGTCTTTCGCTCCACAACACCTCCCTCCTTTTAGGGAAGATTGAAATTCGGCACATGACCAGACTGAAGGTGTGTGAGGAATGAAAAACCGAATGTGTGTACAGCATAGAAATATCGTGGAAAGATTACACAGGATTTACAAAGCAACGCGAAAAGAAAAATGCTTCTTTCGTTCGTTTAGCTTAATTCTTGCGTAGACTGAACACGGGCACCATCACATCGGGGCACGCATCTTGCGCTGGGGCTCGGGCAACTTGTCGGCATTCGGCAACGGCAGCGGCGGCAATCCCTCCTTCTCTTCCTCGAAAGATCCTTGACACGTTGACGACTTGTCGGGCTTGCGGAGCTGATTGATGTAGCGCGGACGTAGCAGTCCATTTTCCAACTTGACGGTGTAGAGGAATTTGGAGTCCTTGTGTAGAATTCTTGCGGGCATCCAGGTAGATTGGTCCCTGCACCATTCCTTAGCGTAAACGTGTTCACCTGGTGAGAAACAACGTTTTCTTGTTGGGCGGCGACGATGGGCAGTCCTCACGACCAGTGCGGCGGGGCTTGGGGTACGCAGCGAGCGCATTGGTGGCTTCATTTGTAGCTTGCGTCCCATGAACTCAAATGGCGGATATTCATTCGACGGTTCGGGCTTGAGCAGTGCACGGAATGCATCCATTGCATCCGTATTCTTCAGCCAGTCGAGGCCGAGAAGGGTGTGGCCATCGATGTCGTGTCCAACACCGATCATCTCCTTCTTGTCGATGACGTACTTGCCCTCGAATGTCCCATGAACCTTGATGTCCTGCATCTTGAGTGACGTTGGCTTGAGCGCCGGCTCGCCGATCTTGACCCAGTCCTTCTTGTAGAGGAGAGTCACGTCGGCGCCCGTGTCAACACGCATCTTCAGCGGATGCCCGTCGATCGCCACATCATGGTATAAACGATCGATGTCGTGG